TATATGAAGCTTTTATAATGTTTGGATTTGAGTTTTGGTTCTGTCCTAGTATTGAGGTGGAAAATTAGGGCTTCCTAATAGATTTGAGAGGCCAAAAGGATGGGAAATTAATTTCCTAGGTTATGGATAACAACTTTCAAGACTTTATATGGAATTCATGTGTGTGAGAAGCTCTAGGGTTGGCTTCTTAAATAGCCATTAGATGCCTTGAGAAAGCTTTGAATCCATTGGGGAAAATTGGGTGGCTGCTCAGGGAATCTTAGAGGACCTCAGAGAATGTTTTTGGCCATGGATAATCAATTTTTGCATTTACTTTAGTGTTCTCATATTAATGTCATGTATGGAGGAGAGGACGGTTTGAGGAAGGCTTTTAGGCTATTAGCTTGGTCTTGAGCTGGATAAAGGGCTTAGGAATTAGCTAGCTTGAGCACCTCATGCTTGGTCCAAGGGGATGTAGGGTGGAGGCCATGTGTCCTCCCCTTCACCATGACTTGGACCAAGTCAAAAATGTTGGATTGATTGGTTTTTAATGGGTTTGCCAAGTTGTGGTAGGTGCTATTGGGTCATGGGAGACCCAAGAAGGATGGGCCAAGGGTGGATTTAAGCTTGGGCTCCATGGGTTGGGTTTAGGATTTTCATTTAAGGTTAGGCTTGGAATAGACCCATTATGATATTTCCCCTTAATTAATTAATTAATTAATTAAAAGATGAAGTAATGTATGGAAAATTACCTTATAGTGGTTTGGTTGACCATGTGGCTATAGGGTTGACCATGTAGACCCATATAGACATGGGTCCATGGAGGTTCATCATATGGTATGTATCATAACCATGGGTTGTAAGATTCAATTAGCGAGTTTTTTTTTGTCTAAATTAGGGTTTGATTTAATTGCTTTGAGCACGTTAAAGTACCCCTAGATTTTGGGTTAAAAAGGGCACATCAGGTTTTGGTCTGATTTTTGGGTTTAGTGGGGTTAGGGAGACATTTGGTGAGCCTAGGGATCAATTTAAGTAAACCCCTCTCCCAAGGTGGATTTGGTAGTCGTAGTGATTCCTAGGGTCCCTGGGTAAATCTCTAGGGTTTAGGTTGAGTTAAGTGACTTAGGGCATGTTTTGCCTATGGAGGTCAATTTGGAGTCCACAATAGACAAAACTCTAAACCACCCCAACCATAGGGTTAGAGGGCTTGGGCTTACTCAAAGGGAGTCCAAAAATTCATAGCCTTGTTCTAATTATTGTGAATGTGAAAACCAGTTCACTGTTTGTTCAAATTGACAGTTTTTTATTTTTGGCAGCAAATTAGATTTGATGCTCAAAATTGATGGCAAAATTAATTACTCTTAATTCCTTCCCTAGATTTTCTACAGCTTTCCTTTCATGAATCCCGCCATCTATGACTGCAGAAGAGAAAAGAAAATAATTAATGGGATTTATTAATTATTTGATTAATTCCTCAATGGGTCAAATAACATTATGTAATTAATAAATAAACATGCTTCAACTCCCCTTATAATCTCTCTCGGGAGTTGGTTTTATATGGAAAGGAATTGCATGTATTATTCTCTTCTTGGCTTCCTTCTTTGATGTGGCTCTCGGGTAGAGAGAGAGAAGGAGAGGAGAGAGAGAGAGGAAGAAAGAGAGAGAGAGTTCTTTCTTATAAGTCAATGTGGTCGACAGTGTAATTCTCAAACTAATAAAATCCTCTGTAGCTCCGTAGACAGAGGAAATTTGCCGAACCACTTAAATCTGTGTGTTTTTGCAGTGTTTCTAGTTTGTAAATTTTTCTCGATCCGGGTTTTCCCTTTATTGTTGTCATTTTCTCACAACAACTAGTATCAAAGCCTTGGTTCGGATTTGGGGAAAGCAATGGCTGGAGATGAAGTGATGACATCAGGGATTGAGAAGTTTAATGACACGAATTTTGGTTACTGGAGGATTCAGATAGGTGACTAACTCTATGGTAAGAAGCTTCACTTGCCGTCACTGGGAAAGAAGCCAAAAAATATGGATGAGGCGGAATGAAATATGTTGAATTGATAGGTTCTGGGGGTTAATCAATTAACCTTGTCAAGATCTGTTACCCATAAAATCATCAAGAAAATGACTACTGCATATCTCATGACGGCTTTATTAGGATGTATGAAAAGCCATCGGCGAATAACAAAGTTCACTTGATGAAAAAGTTATTTAACTTGAAGATGACAAAATGTGTGTCTGTCGCTCAGCATCTAAATGATTTCAATACCATCAAAAATCAATTGTCATCTATTGAAATTGATTTTGACGATGATATACGTGTGTTGATATTGTTGGCTTCATTGTCAAATAGCTGAGAAGTCATTAGGATGGCAGTTAATAGTTCTGCAGGTAAATCTAAACTGAAATATAATGATATTCGTGATTTGATTTTGGCAGAGGAGATGCACAAGAAAGATTCTATCGTGATCTTGAGTTTGAGTTTAGCACTGAATGTTGATTCCAAAGGGAGATCACATAACAAAAACTCAAACAGAGGAAAATCAAAATCAAAGTCTGGTCAGCAGATAACTTGCCGTAATTGTGACAAAACTGATCACATAAAAAAACTACATGAATCCCAAGAAGAAGGAGAACGCTAATGTTTTAATTGAATAAGTACAAGATGCACTACTGCTGACAGTTCATAGTTTTGTTGATGGCTAGATACTTGATTCAGGGGCTTCCTTCCATACATCTTTCCACCGGGAGTTAATGCAAAATTATGTTGCAGGTGACTTTAGGAAGGTATATTTGGCTGATGAAAAAGCTCTAAATGTGGTGGGGATGGGAGGCGTTGATATTGCATTCCATAAAAAGATCAAATGGACTTTGCAAAAGGTCAGACACATTTTTGAGTTGAAGAAAAAACCCCATTTCCATTGGGCAGCTCAATGAGGGTGGTCATTTAGTAGTGTTCTCAGATAGTACTTGAAAGGTTACCAAAGAAGCATTAGTACTGTTCAGAGTAAGAAAATTGACGCACTATATATGGCTACAAGTTTACTCACACACTGTTGGTACTATAGTTGCATAGAGCATGACAGATCTGTGGCATTACAGGCTTGGTCGCCTGAGTCAGAGCTGTGAAGAAATCTTGCAAGATGAAAATTTGAGCAAGTGGCAGCTGCCCATGAATGAGAAGAATGATTCCCTGTTAGGGAATCAGGCTTGGGAGCTGACAAAACTTTCACCAGGGAAGAAGACATTGCACAACAAGTGAGTGTACTGTGTGAATACTGAGCTTGATGACAATAAGAGGTACAAGACTAGATTCGTTGAAAAGGGCTTTCAACAGAGACAGAGTATTGCCCATGCAGTGGGAGTTGTAAGCGGATACATGAGTAACCCAGGAAAGAGCTTGGAGGCACAAGACTATTTTTACACTGATATGTCAACTGAGGGTGCTACTCTTGAGAAACTGATGTTGTGCACAACTTCAGTTGGTATTGTAGCTTGAAGACAATGGATTTGAGTTGCAGAGGTAGAGGATATCACATTTGAAGAAAATGGCGACACAACCAGTGAATGATGCAACCAACATGCTAATCTCCAAGTGGGAGATTTGTTGTAAATATGGAAACCAGTCTACTATTCAAATTGACAATTTCTCATATTTGGCAGCATATTATAATTAATTCTCAAAATTAATTGCAAAATTAATTGCTCTTAATTCCTTCCCTAGATTTTCTATAGTTTTCCTTGCATGTATCCCGCCATCTATGATTTGTTGTAGCAGAGAAAAGGTAATAATTAATAGCTTCTTTAATTATTTGATTAATTTCTTAATGAGCCTAATAAACATAATAAAATTAATAAATAGACATGTTATATCTCCCCTTGTAATCTCTCTCGGACGTTGGTTTTACAGGGAAAGGAATTGCATGTATTATTCTCCCCTTGGCTTCCTTCTTTGGTGTGGCTCTTAGGTAGAGAGAGAGAGGAGAAGAAAGAGAGAGAGAGAGAGAGAGAGAGAGAGAGAGAGAGAGAGTTCTTTCTAGTAAGTAGCCGTGCTCGACGATGCAATCCTCAAGCTAATAAAATCCTTTGTAGCTCCGTGGACGTAGACAATTTGCCGAACCACGTAAATCTGTGTGTTTTCGTTGTTTATGGTTTATGAATTTTTCTCGATCCGATTTTTTGTTTTATTGCCGTTGTTTTTTCACAACACTAAGGTCATGGGCAAAGTGGAGAGAATTCCTCACAAATGTGAGATCAACAAATGCGCCTCAAATATGTGTGATGTACCGAACAGGTATGCCACACATATTAGAGTTGACTGAACTGGACAGTGCAACCTTAGAATGTCTTAGTTTATTATGTATTGGAAATCGATTAAGATTAAATTAAGATTTTCACTAGGGAATCCAATGTCAAGTTAGCTAACTTTTAATGGTGATTACCATTTTTCCTTGTTAGGAGGGTTTCACATCTGCCTTTAGAGGTTGCTGAGGAAAAGGGCATTACGACTCATGGAGAGGTCCTATCAACCCTCAAGAAAAGTCAATTTGAAGTTTTTGCTTTGTTAGAAAGGAATCTCGATGAACTTATATGCTAATTAAGAGGAAGCCAAATATGTTAGAGGAAAGCCGCGATACCGTCTCAGGAAAGTCTTACATTCTACTAGTGAGAAAGAGAATGGATGTCATATTCCATTGAATGATGTCTTATACCGATTCTCAAGAACGTCAAATATCGAGTTCCCGTTTCATTAGTAAGAAATGCAAATGGACTTATATCCTAAAAAAGAGGAAGACAGAAATATTAGAGAAAAGTCGTGATTCTGTGACAGGAAGACCTTACATCCTGCTAACAAGAAGAAGCTGTGTGATATTCCCATAACGTTGATTTAGTTAAGAATCATTATAAATTCTTAAAGTTTGCT